AAAACAAGAAATTTGAAAAGATTGTCAAACGAAATAAAAACATTAAAGAACCTTAACACCTTTTTATCATTGAGGTAAAATCTTAGTGTGCTTGAAATATTTAAGACCTGGTAAAGTACACTGAACATGAAAAAGGTGAAAATTGAGTGTGATTGATTTGCCCTGAAAAATTATTCTTTAAACTTTTGCTTTAGAGTTTGAGAAAATATGATGAATGGGTGAATATGTACTGAAAATTAAGAAATTATATGTAGTTGCAATTGCTATCTCAGCTAAAAATATGAACATCTTTGCAGTATTTTTGTCTCTATCACATGTTTGTCCTCTTCTGGTGTCCTGGGGCGTGTTTGGTGCTGCACTGTTCAGATGCTTTGCCAGATGACTGAGACCTGCGTTAGCTGCCACCTTGCTGCCCGCATACGTACAAAAGGAGATAAAAAAAGAATTGGAATTAGACTAATATGGAATAGCAGATAACTGAAGTACAGCATTTCCTAACTTTTGAATGCAGCTCTTTTTTTTTTTCCCTCCTATTTTCTCTCTGTTTTTTTTTTTAGTTTGGGTGTTTTTGTTTGTTGTTATTCTTTGTTTATAAAACTATTTTCATAACTGAAATCCTTTCTGAATGAGAAGCCATAAGAAGACTACAATTGTCTTTTCGGATTTTGCAAGACTAAAAGAAAATATTGTAAATGGAAATTAACCATTTTTTGCCTATTCCTTCTTTCTTTCCCTTTATTTCCTGTACTGTCTCCCAAAAATAGAGCAAGGCCAATGTAACATTTGGCTGCAAAGCTTATGAAATCACGTTGCTGTGTGAGCATTTTTGATCTTACTAAAATGGACAAAAGAAGGAGTAAACTGGGGAAAAGGAAGCAAGCAGATTTCAGCTTTTGAAGATGCAAGCAGTATGTGCATAAGCCATGTTAGATCTTGAGGGGACTGAATAGAGTGTTCAGAACTGGTGTTATATTCACTCTGCATTAGGAAGAATAAAAATAGAAAGTCTGTCTCCAGTGTGTGTGTAGGTTAAGATGTACCGAGGCAGCTGCTGTGTTAATGGTGAAAGTGTGGTGTAGTGCTCTGGTTTTTTGGAGAGACAGTCACTGAGGCTGGCAGAAGGGGGAGCTTTCGGAGTGTAACTTATTTTGATCATTAGTCTCAGCTGGTGCTCACTGACAGCCATGCTTCCGGGCTTTTGCAAATCCAGCGTAAGGAGGATAGAAGAACATCTTTAAAGATAAATGTGCGGTTATAACAGCAAGATCCTCAGGGAAGCATTATTGCAAGCTCTGCAGCAGCACAGTGTCTCAGTGCATGTGTGTGTGATTGCAGTACGAGTACAACTCCAGTTTTCTCCCTATTTTCGCTTCCATTCATGTCTCTTCTTCCCCTTGATAATTAAGCAAATTCAAAGCTAACAACATTTTTATGATTTTGCTGCTTCTTAAGGATTTTCTTTCTCACCTTGTAGCTCTTTGAAAGGCTAGTCTTCTGAGCATATCAAAGATCTATAAGGTGAATTAATTGAGTCAGGGTTTGCTCGTATTTCTCTGTGGACAATACTGAACACTCTTTTACCCACACTTTTTTCATATAGGAAGACAGTATGAATGGAAACCATACTGGAACATGTGAATTTTCATTCAGTAGTGAATAGATTACATAGTCTACAGAGGTAGCTTTCATGAACATGGTGTTCAATTCTTGATCGTAGGGATTGGATAAGTACCTGTTATGTCATAGTGGAGGAGACAAGATCAGTAGTGCTTCATGGGAATGGGAGAAAGAGGCAAGTCATACAAAGGTGGAGAACAAGAAACTTCGACATTGAGCCAGATAATTCTGCCTGAGTCACAGTAGAAAAATTATAGCAAAATATACACAGAAGGCCAGAACACCTGATACTTCCAAACTTAATCTCATGTTCCCATTCTTTTAGTTGATTAATTGTGTAATCCTTTGCAACAGAATAAAAATAAGTCTTTTTATCCTTCACTGGGGTTTAATAAATTATTGTAATCTACCAAAAATTATCTTCCGAGTTTATAGTCATCTTAGTTGCTGAAGATCTTTGGTAGGGTCCTCAGAATACTTATTTAATCTAAAGCTGTAGTTCTTGTCTAATTCTAAATTTAGTATGCTTCCCACGCCTTGCGAAAATAATTAGGGGAAAGGTAAGAATTTGGTTCAAGAACTTCATGACCTGGGATTTCTGAGAAGAAATGTTTTAAACATGAACAGTGGTAATTTAACCTCTTCAAGGAAAATAGAGGTCTCAGAGACCTTGCTTTTAATTTTTACTGTTTTCATGGCAGGTAAAGGCAGTCAAGACCAATTTTTTGCTATTCCATTTAAACCTGTAGCAGAAATCAGCTGATCATCTAATAATTATCAAATTATTCACCATTTAATTATTCCAGATTATTTGCAAACATTTTCACCTCCAGAAGGTATAACTTCATGTAATTACCTCATGAATGATTAAGGTGTCTGAGACCAAAAGCTGTTGCTGCTGCCTTTTATTTATAAACTAACAATGTAAAATTGTAGTTCAAAATCCTGAACTACAATTGACTGAACTACTTGTTGACAATCTTGAACTACTAGTTGACTGAAATTTAGCCTGAAATCAGTTTAAATCAAATTGTTGATTCTTCTAGCTTAAGAAGCCTTTGCTAATATAATTAAATAATTTTTACTATCCTATTTATTCCAAGACTACTTCATGCTCAGGTGGACAAAATTATATAATTTCTCTTACTGTTATCTGAATTAAATTCGTTAATGACTTTTTTACACATATATTTATTTTCTGGTTTATTTTTCTGTTTTATTTTTCTTATTTTTTTTGTTTATCGTATACTTATTTTCTGTTGTTTGAATAATAAAGTTTTTAGAAAATAGTTAAAAACTACTATGAAAACTTAACTCCAAAGGAATAGCAATTAAGATGCTGAACAATGTATTTGAACTTGAGCAAGACAGTTAAATGCTATAAAGATTAGCAAATGACTGGGTGAATTAAGAGGAGGAAGCTCCTGTTTTGTAATTGACAGATATTTTTGCTGCTAATTAGGCCAAAGCAAGAGGAAGGGGTGATTCTGGTTCTGCATAAGCACAAGAAGACTCTCTAAACATGAAAAGATTATTTAAATGTTGAAATGTACAACGGGGGGCTGGGGGGGGAAGTAAATCTATGAACTCTGACATTCAGTAGTCGTGGATGACAGGCCACTATATAACATATTATGCAGAAATGTGCACTTTTCTTATATAATTCTTTCTTTCTGGGTGTGAGCAAAGTGATCCTCTGTGGTCAGCAAGAAAGATGCCTTGAACTAATAAATTATTTTAAAGAATTAACAGCTGAACTCTGATAGAGGGATATGCTGACTATGCAGTTTTGTTGGCATTGCATTTTAGATGGTGTGGCCAAAGAATAGAGGCAAACTAGCTGGCAAAGGTAACAAAATTTACGTCTTGTAAAGGTTTATCTCATAGTTTATCTCCTGTTTTATTCCCTTGGATTTATTGTATTTTGTCTAATAAAGGGCTAGCAAACTTGGACTAATAATCAGATAATTATCAGATCTTTAGATGTGGAGAAGAAAATCTTAGAAACAACTTCCAACATTTTAATGCATTGTTTATTTTAGAGTGTATTGCCACATGAAATTAAAATATTACAGAAACTTCTGGCCAAATGTGACTTACAGTATCCTTTTAAAACTGCTTCCAGATGTTTAAAAAAAAAATCTTTTTAGTATGTTCAGAAAGCCTGGGAAATTTTACATTTTGAATAAAGTCAATGTTCAATCAGAAATCTTGCATGTAAAAACCAGTAGAATTATAATTATCAATTTTATTGTTATTATACTAAATTACACTAAAATGCTTTCTTAAGGCAGTTTTGGTTTTTGCTTTTTATTTAAATATTTTTGACTTTGAATGAGTGGGTGGAAAAACAGGCTATAGAAACTTACCTAGGTACAAGCTGTATTCCCAGCTAGTTTTTATTCAAACATGCAATTAACTTTATTATTCCATTTGTCTTTTCTCTTTCAGTAGATCTATTTCATCTCTTTTTCCATATCATGTGAATCTAAACATTGGCGTCTTAATACATCTGACATTTTAGAGTTTAATATTCTTACAATGTAGATTTTATTGCAACCTGCATATGTAACTAAATTTTATACTCTATTTCTGGCTAAACTCAAAAAGCATTGTCATACCTCAAACTAAGATTTCCTCCTCTTATATACTATATAACATATGCTTTCCTTTCATTTTATGGTTGGATAACAATAGAAAAAACTTTGATCAAGAAATCTGGCCCTATAAGAGGAATAAGTATCTTCTTGCTCTTTATAAGCTTTACTTCTCTGAATTGCTGCTTGTGACACTGCGCATTAGTTTGGAGCACTCCACCACTCTGGAGCTGTATATGGTACAATTTTACACAGAACAGTTATGAGAGTTTTTTGTTACTATTCTTTTATTGAGAGCTTCTCCAAAGAAACACAGCAAAAGTTCTCAAAGACTATAACAATTTTATGTTTCAAAAAACAAAGACTCATTGCAGAAGTTGACAGGATAGACTCTGTACTAATTTTGTGTAACATCTTTGGAAGAACTTGTTTCATCTCTTGCTAATATCTTGATTTTCCCTTCAGAACAATTGTATAGGAAATTGATGCTACAATAACAACTCATGGTTTTTGTTCCTACTTCACAGTGGAGCCAGCACATATAATATATACATATATTTTTTTGAAAATTTCTTGATCCTAATTAATCAGGCTCCAGATAACTTAAGATGCTTATGTAGAAATATTTTATATCAAAGACTTACTATCAGATACATTTTTAAGAATATTTTTATTTAATATTTTTTACTTCTAATAATTCAAATTTTCAATACACATAATAATGCCTAAATACTTGTGTCCTGCATATAACTACAAATTCTTATTGCTCTCTCATCACTCTGGCAGGACGAACTCTGCTGGAAAAGCTCTTCAGCCAGCAGGAAAATGCACCACAAGAAGAAGCAGAAAAACTCTGTTCTCGCATTATTGCAATGGGTCTTTTACTTCCATTCACTGACTGCTTCAGAGAGCCATGTAACCAGAGTGCCAAGCAAAGCACACCCACATTTGATGTAAGTACTGAAAAACTTGTCTTTTGCCTCTTTTGTGAAGCAGGACATGGTTTTCTAATAGTTTATCCCTCCTGAAAGAATTTGGTTTGTCATTTTAATGAAAATTGCCCTTAGGAAAGTGACCAGCTATTTTTCTCTGCTAAGGTATGTACACTTTTGTATCCACATGAGCATGTTCTCCTATAACTTGATTTCATAACTTTTAAAGTCATTATCTTAGCCTGTTCTTCATCTTCAGTTTTCTTTGAATCAAGGTGCTCTGTATGACTACCAAGATTTCCATCAATAGCTGCTTCACCTAAAAAAAATATAAATCAAAGGAAAAACATAAAACAGCACATCGCAAAATTACACAGAACACAAACTAGATGTCCATACTAAGTTGTTGGGTTTTTTTGTTGTTGTTGGTTTTTTTTCCCCTGAAAATACTTTTGATACAAAATAATGCAGGGGTTAATGCAAATATACTGACATTCCAGCTATAGTGTTATCTGTACCTGTGGGCTATCTGGCTGGGTGTTTGCCTACTGTTACAAACCTGGGTGTAGACATAACCTTACATCCTTTTTCTTTCTCTTGGATAATGAATTCAACATTAGGATCTTCTTGTAACTTATGGCGCTTTGTACTGTTTTATGTGGCTGAAGAAAATTAGGGTTTTTCTCTCTACCAATTAGCTCCAAAATAGTATACAAATATTAACTATATCAGCAAGACATTACGTAGATAGGATCATCCCTACTCTACACATTAAGCTGAAGTTTGGTTACAGACACTCAAAAAAGGATTGCTATAGATATGAGAGAACTTGATTACTTCTTAACTCTTAAATCTTTCTCATCCTTCCTGAGGAATCGTTTAACACAACTGGAAAAGGGAAAAGAATAATTTTTCTCCAATGAATTCTTATACAAGCTTTCCTAAGTAACCCAGTTGATCTGCAAAGTTCTCTAACAATATTATATGTTTATGTTTTGACTGTGGTGTCACTGTTTTTCTTTAAGATGCATTTTTTTAACTGGTTTATGAAATTAATTGAAAAATGCAGTTTAAATATAAAACTGGGGTTACTCAGGCAACTTAAAATCATGCAGCATTTGAAAATGCTTGTGATAAAATATGCTCATAAAAGTTACTGGAAAAGACAAGCTTCTTATTTTTCAGGTTGTTTAAAAGTGTCAGGTAGTATTTTCCTCTTTCCTGCTGTTACCATATATTCAGCAATCTCCTTTAGATTATTGAATACAATATTTTTAAAAAGCTTCCTTTGCATTCTAAACAGATGTTTTATCAAATTCTAAGTTTGCAAAGAAACAGAAATTACTCTTTTTTTAAATTGATATACCATGCTTTTTCTGAGTAACAGATATTTTGGTTATCTTTTGTTTAACACATTGAAAAGGAGGGACATAGTAGTAGCCTAATGCCACATCACCCATCTGTCAAGGTCACGAATTTAAGATGTTGCTGGATTAGCAGTGATCTTAATTTGGCTCTATTAGTAAGCCACAAATATCACAGCTTCTGTGACTATTTTTCTGTATAAATCCCCTAAATAGATCACACTACTGGTAAAGCAATATCAGAAGTAGCGTATGGCCCTGTTATGTAACCAGTAGTTCATCATACTTCAAAGGAGCATACAGCTGTCTTGAACACCAGACCTCATAATTGAATTACACGTGACGCAGAGCTGAGAGCTGCTGATGCTGAGTTTTGGAATATGTTTCTACTCCAGCCTTGGTGACCAAGGACAGTACAGGAACACCTATTAGTTTATTCATTACACGTTCTCCGAAACAAAAATATCTAGAACTTGCAGTATAAATTGTCATGGCTGAAAACTTGAAAATTGTGCATCTCCTTGTTTCTTAGAGTAAATTTAAAGTATTTTACAGGAATAAATGCTAATTGTTATGTTTAACATAACAATTAAACATTTAAAACATTAAATGTTTTAAAATTAGCTTGAAAAACATTATGGTGATGCTGAATATTACTTTTGAAAGGACATGTAAGGTTGGTTAGTCGTGTCCTCTCTTGCATCTTCCTCCATGTGTGTACTTTGGGGTTTTTTTCCTATTCACATTTTTCTTGTTTGTTTGTTTGCATTTTTAAAATTCATTAGAGCAAAACTTTAATGTTGACGTAAAAGACATAAGAATCAGGACTTAATTAAGGACTAGCCTTAATACCTGAATTTCACCCGTCTAGAATTAAGAGGTACATCTTCTCTGAACTTACTCCAAAATAAGGAGCAGAGCCAGACCATATTCTTAGTTCATCTCTGAGTTCATCAGACCCCTAGTTCAATTTTGAATTGCCTCCAATTTGGCTGATGTCCTTTTCACTTAGCTGAAACTGCCATCAGCAAAGCTCCTGTAGCCCTGTCCTGGTCCCTGCCGCCTTGTTGGCCTTCCTTCCTTCTTCATGAAGGTGCTTGCCTGTTCCTTAGTGTTACCTCTTTGGTTATCTTGATTTTCATCTTAATTTGGGGCTTGTAAAGTCTCTTAGGTCACTCTTTCAGAACTTTTTTTTTCAGAATTTCCAACACTTTTTCCACTGAAACCAGTCTTTGAATCCTGTTCTCCTTTTGTGACTTATCCCTTGTATTTCTGAACTTTAAAGTACTATTTTTTTTAATTGAATAAAATCCATTATTCCCTTCTTGCTTAAGTGTGGTCCCACAGACTTTATTTTTTGAAGCTGTTAGGTTACAGTTTATAAAAACAATTCTTTAAGTTTTGTTCACTCTATGATCTATTGCTCATGGCTTGAGATGAATATAAACAGATTATTTAAAAGTCCTATTCTCTCACTCTGATTCCCTTTTCTGGATGGCCTCTAGTGAATTTAATTTAACATGGCTAATGCTAAAATCTCTTGAAATGCTTGCGATTATACATTTTGATTATATTCTCATTTTCTTTATTATTCATTCCTGCTGGTCACCTCTACATCTCCATGTCTTAGAAATGTTTGTCCAAATCTTTTGTCTGTTTTTTCAGTAATACAAGAGATCTGGTTTGCTTTTTTTCTCACAAGATATTCCAGGCTTCAGTATAGGCCATTAAAAAATAGTTCATGCCCTCTTTTTGATTTCTTTTTGGATCCTATTTCTTTCTCTTCCCCTTTGTCTGGCTGAAATTAAGCAGTGCATTAAAAAGAAGGACAACTTTCACAGCTCTTAGTTTCTTGGGCTAGTTTTATAATGGCTCCTGGAATTCAGTTTCATTTAAATTCTTGGCACTTGTGTCTCTGGTGTACATTATGGTTTGTGGATGCTTACTCCTTTTTTCATATATGGCAAACATGATGGATCAACAAATGCCAAATTGGAGCACAAATCTTCAGAGAACTAACAGCTGTCACCACATTTATGCTGAAGATAGTGTCCAGTTCCCAAAGGCTGATATATTACTCAGGTCTTTGGATAGATTTTAATGATGATTGGACATTACATGTTCATGAAGTATCTCTGAACTTTTTATCAAATTACCCCAAAGGACAGAAATTTTAGAACTGTTTTAAGAACTTATGAGAAAACTCGCATGTTCAACCTTGGCCTGTTTTATCAATTATTTCTTTTGAAACAGCTGATGGCAGTTGCCCAGAATAAAAGATTAGGCTGAAAAATAGAAGTTGAACAAAGCTTTAAAAGTAACATAAATAGACAAGGGTTGGTGTTTTTAAGATTTGGCTGTTGAGAAGCAGTGGAAGCTTTTGCTATAGATCTTCCTACCTACTCTTACAGTGTAAAGAACATCTTAAAAAATAAATGTTCAGTGGCAGGTTCTCTGTCTTAGACATATGTTGCCCTTACTGCTAGTTTCCCATTTGCAAGGGGGGCTGCTAATTATTGCTTCATTTATGTCATGACAACTTATTCATCAGGCTATCTTTAGTCTTTCATGCTTCTCCTAATATTTTATAAAATAAAAACAGAGTTGAACTAACAAATAAAGTTGAGCAAGTAAATAGGTAACTTAGATTAGTAAAAGCCTACAGAATAGCTATTGCCTTTTAAATTTTTCCCTTTGTAGCAGTTGTCAGTTATTCAAGAGGATTTCTAAAGATTCAAATTAAAATTAAATTAAAGATCAAATGAAATTAAAATCAAAGATTCAAATTAAAGTATCTTCTGAGTGAATGATATGCAAGACATTAATGTCTTGTTAAAAAGTCTTCCATTCATAAACCATAGAATTATAGAATTTTTAGGGTTGGCGAAGACCTCTAAAATCATCAAGTCCAACTTTTAACCCAGCACCACCCTGTTCACCATTAAAAGCATATTCCCGAATGTCACACCCACATTCCTTTTGAACGCTTCCAGGTATGGCAATCCCACCACTTCCCTGGGCAGCCTGTTCAATGCCTAACTACCCTTTCAATGAAGAAATCTTACCTTATACCCAATCTAAACCTCCCCTGGTGCAGCCTGAGGCCATTTCCCCTTAATCATCACTGTGAGAGCTACCTACCTTCCTACATGTAGTGCAGCGGTAGTCTTTAGCTTTTTAGCATGACACCTCATTATATTATTTTAGTAGAGTAAAATGATCCTGAAACTGGCATGCCTAAAGGGTGCATCTTTGGCAAAAATGTAGCAACAGGCAAGATTTTCCTTCCTGTTGGAGGATCACAGTTTTTAATAAGTAGAGATCTCATCTGCTTAGGTCTTCTCTTAATAATCACCAAAGGTATAAGATAACTATCTTAAGCGAGCCATCAGTATTGTGTATAAATTATAAATATTTGCATTAGAATTAGAAACATTCATAACAAGGAAGAAGCTGGAATTTTCCTGTCAATATGAGGCAACTTTCTTTAACATCTCAGTGCTAAGAAATACTGACGGTACTTGCTGTTTGAATTTTATCCAGTAGTTGCAATTAACGCACACTGTGGACATGTAGTCTGTAATTTTGACTTCCCGTTTCAGATTTTCCAGTTCACGCTGATAGACTTAAGCTACGGGCAATTTTTTCTTTCATAAC